TTCATAATTGTTGATCTTCTAAACTTGTTAATTACAACTACAAATCGTGCAGAATTAAGTTTTTATTAATTAAATGCTCTTCAACAATTCAACAGTTTGCCTCTTTTCGAAGAGGTAACCATCAAATCATTTGCTTATTGAATCAATCAGCAATTTATTACTCATTTCAAATATGCGACGAATGTCCATCTATTGCAGTAAATCATCAACAATAAATTTAGAAATATCAATACATTTTCCATTCACTCGTTCTTCGTGTCATTCTTTCCATATATTATACACATAACAATATGAGCACACAGAATCATTCTTTTCGTGAAGTCCTGATCGTGATCGTTGATTTAAACGGTACCCGGTAACATCTTGAGTTTCCGACAGTCGGAATTCCGACCGGAACCATCGGATTTTTCCTAACGGCCGTCGATGGAATTCTATCACTACTAGTGGCTGACCTTCTCTAGAATCTTATTGAGTGAGATCCTGGTATGAGGAGGGCAACCAATATTTGCGTATTGTTAATATTGAGCCTCAACATATGTGTAGGTATGTCTTAGGACGAACTCGCCTCAATACGGTCAATGGTTCGCATTTGGCCTGCACNGGCCTGCACACCGAACTTCTCTTCTCGCTTAAACTTCAGCAATGATTTTTGGGCGTTTTGACGTCTTGCGGGGTCTTATTTGATGTGATTTTTAACGATTTCAGGTTCATTACAATTTTTTATTAGCTCTGGTACAAGCTGCACACGTAGGTGTATTTAGAATCTTTGTTGAACTGAATCTAAACTATAAATTAGAGAAATAAGACGTGTATTTATACGATTCGCCCATGTTCGCTATGCATTAATGTTACGTTGATGTGTTGTAATTCCCTTCCGTTCCATTAAATGCGACCTAGTCGATTACACGGAAATCGAGTGTGACTTCAACTGAATTTCTGAGTGAGGAAAATATAGCTCCAACGAACCGTGTGCCTCAATTAAATGCCTGATGCCTGTTGACGGCAAAAAAAGCACTAAGTGATCCAAATCGTGTAACCTAACAACAACAACTTCCTCACAACCGTTTAATTTTTAAGCTCTGATTTCAACTTGTTTTTTTAATGGTTTCGTTCTCTGAAAAATGTCCACTTATTCAGTTTNTGTGCTTCTCCGAGGCTTTACATTCTCATATTTGAAATTCTCATCGCGAGATGTTTTCGTTTATGAACCTGGCCCAGAATTATGCTTACGCTTATTTAGGCAGTCGAAAAAATCGACTGGTAGGTATAGGATGACAGCCGCAAGGCTCGTGTTTCCATTCTATCCTCCAAAACTCGTGATAATTACCTCGTAAATTTGAATTTATGTTCAATTTTCATTAGGTGTCAGCGTTCGTGTGCGTGCACAATGTTTTCGTGTTTCATTCTCATTTTGTGTTTCTGTATGAATTGTTTCAAAATTTCATTTAATGGATCTATTAAAGTTCTTTCAGATCTCGGGTGCACAAAAATGAAGCAAAACCAGTTTGTGTCGTNCGAAGGAAACTGATGAGCGCTCCACTTGCTAAAGATCTCCGAATCAAGCACGGAGTTCGATCGATCCCAATTAGGTACTGTCTGATTCGTTTCTTTAATCATCTGTGTTTTTCGTAGAATCTACACAAGCAAACGTTTTTCAGATTTAGAATTGATGCATAACATTGTTGTGCTAAAGATCAAGGTTTAGTAAACGTAAAGAAGTATTTCTCATGAGGACATTAATAATTTACGAGATAGTCATAGTGACTGTGTGAAAATTTTGAACTGAAATGAATCTGCGAATTTTAGAATGGACGATGAAGTGACAGTGGTTCGAGGTCATTACAAGGGGAACGCAGGTCGTGTGATGCGTGTCTACCGAAAGAAATTCGTCGTTCATATCGACAAGATCACTCGTGAGAAGGCGAACGGTTCAACCGTTCACATCGGCATCCATCCGTCGAAAGTGGCCATCAC